ATATGTATAAAAATGTGATGCTGGAAAATTTGGTGATCAAAAGTATCTTCCTTTGGTGATCATTTGTATCTAAAGGCGTTTGGTGATCAAAAGTATCTTTCTTTGATGATCATTTGTATCTAAAAAATTTGGTGATCAAAAGTATCTTTTTTTGGTGATCATTTGTATCTAAAAGCGTTTGGTGATCAAAAGTACCTTTACTCAAAGAGGAATGTAAATTTGATCACACACGACCAAAAGCCTGCTAATATCAGATTTCCGCAGTGGCGCGTACAAATGCAACGTAGTTTGCGTTAACTTTCTTTCAATATAATGTAGAGAAATCTTAGGAACTCGCGGAAATAATCTTTGAAAACGTGTCGTGAGGTATCTTGACAAAAATTTCATATTTAGAGCTAAAAGCCTACGTCAAAAAGCTTTCGCTTTTAATTTCTACGGGTCTGTCTATATGTTGTTAGTGTGTAAAATGATGTGTTCAACTAACCTTAAACCATCAATATGAAATTCTCTAATATAATATTGAATAACATCCGTCATATAATTCCATGCCGGGCTTTGTTCTTTTTCTTCATAATTAAATTCTGGTCCCCATATTTCATCCTTGGGACCTTCAGGATGGTGTGGTTCTTTCCAGTAAAAGTACGATGTTGGATCAATTTTATATAATGGACAATCAGCATTACAGTGATTACAAACAGCATCAAATATAACACGTATATGACGAAGATGACATTCATCAATCAATTGCTTTAAATCCGATGATTTACCGTATGTTGATTGAATTGAAAAAAAATGACGTATTGTATAACCCCAGTCATGTTCTTTAAATAAGAAATAGGAAATGAAAGAAAGAAAAGCAAACTGTATACACAGACCTTCGCCAGATTCTGTAATTGGCATCAATGAAACACAATTAATACCTAAATCGTTTGATAAGTAATCTAACTTAGTTAATGCTGATTGACATGTGCCTAAAACAATACAAAACATGTTTTGAGAAACCAGATATCTACTGATGTCCATAAAAGAAGAAGCTAGAGTTACTGATTAATCTACTACATGTTTAATCTTGAAAAATCATCATTTTTGAAAAGCGTCCTTTTTTTGTCACTAATCAGATTCGTTTGTGGTTGAATTTTGCATCTTCTTTATATTTCTTTTTGAGAGTGTATTCAACAAAAAAAGAAGGTTCACACTCAGTCTGTTTTGTGATGACTAAAATTCTAAAGGTTTAAACGGTCAGAAGTAAAATTTCTTTTATAGCAACAAAAGAACGAATGTGTTCAAGCAATTAAACTAAAAAACCTTATTGTTTTGCCGAAGGTCGTCCTCCCACATTGTACACCCAGGCCGACATGTGGCAAAAAAACGAAAGTTGACTTTTCTTCGATCTAAATGTGATAAATATACTTCGGCACACTCTATCTGCCAGGATAAAAGTTTTTGGTATAAAGATTACGTAGCACGATACTGCAGCAAATCCGGTCTAACTTCGCCGAAACGTTCTTGTACCTTTTCTTTATCATCGCTGTTCACAAACGTTTCTGGTCCGTCTCTTTTAAAAAAACATTAACCTTATGATCCTAAAGGAACACGAGAAAAACAGAAAATACTAAGAGACTCATTCTCTCTACCGCACCCGATATTTTTAATTAACAACTAACTATGAAGTAATAACACTGTACGTTAAACATTGAGTACTGTTATGCTTCATGTTCATATTTTGTTTGTCATTCTGCTTTTCTGTTACACTAATATACGTCAAAGTTGGAACCGTTTGAAAAAAACGCAATCGGATCGAATCGGCCGGTTGGAAAGCTACGTGAGATCGGATCGGCCGTTAACGGCCGATTAAAAGGTTTTTCTAAATCGGTAAAAACCGGTCTAAAAAAGTTTGATTATTTTCTAATGATATTTGTTTTTCAGTGGTCTATGCCACTAAAACACACAGTGTGTCTCTGTAACCATCAGATATGCATAGTCCAACTAATTATATTTTTGTTCATTTTGCTCTGTTTTGTCTGATGGAGATGCCTTTGACGTTGAAATATGACAATGAGAATAAGATATTCATATACACATTTTCACAACACGAACAGTTCTGACCAATATATTTCTTTATACTATTTTGTGGACAAAACAGAAAAAATAAAGAAAAATGAATAAGTCGTAACTAATTACTATGTGTTCATAAATACATATGCCTAATTACTCGTTGAATGCATGGTTGAATTTTCCTTCAAACCCTTCTTAAAACTATAGGTGTTATTAGGGGTAGGCATGCACCAGTTACAGTTAACTGTAAAACTGTAACTGTCATAACTGTGTAACTGTTATAACTGTAACTGTCGTAACTGTATAACTGTAAAACTGTAACTGTCATAACTGTAACTGTCAAAACTGTAACTGCTCATAACTGTAGACAAATATTCTAGAGTGAATTAGT